CAAACAGATTTTTTTAATCCCAAAACTTGTTTTTAAAAAACAGTTTTATAAAAATGTTCTAAAAGCAGAAAACAGAATCAAGCTAGGCTTGTTACTTTTTTCTTTGTTATCTTATGTAAGTTCGTTGTTGAAGATTCAACCCAATACAAGTGCACCATATAATGTTTAGCAAAACAGTTTCCAAATTAATGTAACACATTGTTCCTTTACAGACTGAAAAAGTAGTCAATCTTAGTCTATTTGTAATATGAATGCCCATCACGAGCCATGGAAGATATGTCCGGTCAGCTCACTCGCTATATATATATATATATATATAGAGAGAGAGAGAGAGAGAGTATGTTTGGTCGAACATCTGAATAAAATCAGGTGTTTTGCTTTGCTACCAGTTTAACATACTTATTATGTAACTTACGTCACATACCAATGAAGTATTAAATTGATATAATTTTTTAAATTTGTCCTTATTAATTTCTTTTTAAAATTTATTAATCATTTTCACCTCTTTCTTCGCATTCTCTCTTCCCAGCAAAAATTAAATAGGGATAAAATTGAAAAATAAAGATTAATAACCCTACAATACAAGTTAATTACTTATGTGTAGTACGTGCACTTGAGAATATGTTGCCAACAAAACGTAGATCAAAGACAAGGGGATGATATCCTATGCATGTTTTTTTTTGGGGGGGGGGGGGGCAGAATATGTAAGTTGTTCAATAATTAGAAAATTTTTTAGAAAAATGTTGGTGGGTGATTAATGATCCTAAAATATCAGGAATATTAAACGCATAAATTTTGGGAAAATCCGTTTTTTTTTTTTTTGGTGGAATAAAATAGTTTTATCAATTTAAATTTCGAATTATGATTCGCTGCCTACGTTTGCAGGGAAATTTGATAATCCTTAATTTTTTTAGTTTCCGTTTTTTTTTGTTAAAGATGTAATTAATTTAAAACGTCTTCATTTTTAATAATTCATATGTTATTTATTCATTATTAAAATAATCTCATCAGTGTTTTGCATAGAAAATGAAAAAAAGTGACTAAAAGTAAATGTCAAAAGTAATTTTGTATTTATATTTAATAACAAGAACATTTTTTTCATGTGTTGCATGAGATTTTTTGACAGGCCGCATTATTTATAATTTTTTACTAATTTAGTTTGTTATAAAACTTAAGATAATGAATATTGTAGAAAAAATTAAATAGCTTTCTTTTACACTGTATGTGAGACCTGTAGCTCAGTTCACACTGGTCTACAAAGTGAGGCTTTATTCAACTTTGAAGCCAAGGCCCAAGGGATTCCCCCTCTTCACTGGTTTTATGTACCTTTAGATGTATTTCTCTACACTGACTTGAAAGTAAAATTTATTGTTTTAAATTATATATCATAAGTTGATTTGGATTTTTCTATATATGCTTAACTCGCCTTGAGCGAAGAGTGAAAAATATAAAATAATGAGTACCATTATATTGCATTAGTCCTCTTGTCCTTAATATTAGAGCTAGTTTGATTTTGAATTTAATTTTAAAATAAGATTCTAATTCACTTTGATTTATAAAGAGCAATATTTACCTTGGATTCATGATCAACTTTACTTAAATTAGTTATAATTAATTAATACTTTCAAGACTTCGAAATTATTCTCCATAAAATTTATTATAATTAGAGGATGTTGTTTAATTGGTTGGAAGGTTGTTCAGTTGATTAAAAAAAATAAGAAAAGACATAAAAACTAATACTACTTTTATTCTTAATATAAAAGCTAGTTTGATATTTAATTTGATCCTAAATATGAGAGCCTAATTTATTTTTTCTATAATATTTATTTTACCCTCAGGGAATCATTATAGTAGTTGCATATATTCAGGAGTTACGATCAATAGGTAATTCAAACACACATAATTAATAAAGATATTTTAAAAAAGATAATATTTAATTACTACAAATATCTAACTCAACTAACATCATTAGTTTTTCTAAATTAGTCAATTAGGTTTTATATTAAGAACTAGAGGTAGTACTTTAGACAAAATGTTATATATATATATAAACTAATTCTGATGATATTTCCCCTTTAAACATAAAATTCCATAATAGATTTAAAAACCTTACAACATGTGTTAGTGTAATCAATTAAAAAAAATCATAAATTTAAAATTGGAAACAGTACTCTTTGCTGACCCGTGGGTTCCCAGAAGTCAAGGTGAATATTTTGACCACATGTTGATATTCATTAAAATTAGAGCCCAATTTTTATACATTTTATCCCATATTAATTCAAGATTTAAATGGTAATTTTGAGTTTAAATGGATTTTTATGCATTATTGAATTAATTGGTTGATTTTTGGATTTTTCATAAAAATTAAGATTTTGGATTATAAATATAAATATTTTGTGATTTCCTATTTTTGACTTGGAATTAATTTTTCCTATTTCTTTAGAAACAAGTTTCATATTTTTAGAAAGATTATTTTTAGAAAGTTTTGCAATTTCTTGCCTAATTTTTATACATATCTGATATTTAATTTTTGATTATATTTGGATATAATCTACATTAATGGATACACTTAAATTCTTGTAGGTCAAGAAAGAGCATATAGGAAATCCAATGATGCAAAGATTGTTTCTTGGAATTTAAGCCCAATCCAATAGCTAATATCAAGTGAGTCAATTAATTACTAATGGATTGAGCTTTGGATCCACAAAAAATTTCCTTTTCTCTCATTAAAATATTTTCCTTATTTGAGAGCAAGGACTCACCCCTAGCATCACTTTTCCTTCTCCATTCACAACCACGGGCATCATCCACGGTCAATCACTTCCTTCATACCCAATTCACCCTTCGGTCAAGAGAATTATTCACTTCTCCATTCCTGCAGTGCCCATCTACTCCCTCATTCACGTCACGCAACCCATCACCAATTGAATAACCATCTTCCTCTCACATTCATCTATTTCCTTGACGCGATCCAGTTCCCATCTCCACATCATCATCACCTTTCATCAATTCATGGCCGTAGCATTTAACAATTTTGGAGGAGAAGGCAATTTGATGGAAGCTTGAGCTTGCTAGGGAGACAACGTGGAAAGAGCGTGGAAAAAGCTTGAGCTTTGGGCTAGCACTTAAAGATCACAAGGGAGTGATATTCCATTTATCTTTTTAATTCAAGGACTTAAGATTATTTAGTTTTAAATAATTTTGAGTTATATTTTTGTGAGACAATTTAGTTTTAGATTGTCATCTTTATGCTTGGATTGAATTGATATTTGGATTTTATTTGTGTTGAGACACTTGCTGGAATTTTATGTTTATGAACCTTTACATTATTAATTTAATTTATAATTGAGTTTTCATTATGGATTTAATTATCAATGTGGTTTGAATTGCAAAATTTAGGTTCTTTTAGTTTACCTCTTAATTGTTTAATTAAGTTGGTTGATTGTCTAATTAGATAATATCAAACATAATTTTCAGAATTAATTTGAGTTATCTTCATTGGTTTTAATAAGCTTAATTAACTAACTTTATACTGTTATGAGTTCTCTAATAGTTTAGGGGTTTTTTGAAATTGAGGGTTTCCTTTGTTTCAAGTAGGTAATTAAATTTATTAATTCCACTCTTATCACTTCCCTTTGGTCTAATTAACTGATTAAGGTTATGAAGGTTAAATCCTTGCAAATCCTAAGTTGTCCCCTCTACCTTACCGAAGAGAAACTTCTCAATTTTTACTTGTTAATTTTCTTTGCTTTCTAGTCAATTTCTTTATTATCATTTAATTTTTTTTCCTAAAAAAAACCCTCCAAAATTGCATTGCATTCATTTAGTTTAATTTAATTTTCATATAGATTTTAGGACATTTGCATCTTGCATTTAGAATTAGAATTTTGCATTTTAGTTTAAGTCCAATTTATTGCATTTTTTTTGTCACCTAAATTTTTATCCAAAGAAACCCATGACTTGCTTCTTAGAAGTAATGACCTAGGTTGATCCTAAACTACAAGTTAATTAAGACCTAGTTTGATTGAGTGCTTTAACGACAAAGGCATTATAAGAATTCATTGGAATAAGAACATATTCTTCATTGTTCTTAAGGAAAGCATATTTCGTCTGTATTTTTCTTCACTATCCTTAAGCAAAGCATATTTCTATTCTCAATGTTTCTTTAGGCACTGTTGGGGACTTTTTTTTTTTTCTTTTAAATTTTCAAGAATGGAATGAAATGAAATGAAAAAGCCAAGAATAATCACTAGCGGCTATTTATTTTAAAAAAAATTTTTGGGCGCCTCAAATTGGTGAGGGGAGGATGGAATGAATGTTTTCTTAAGGGTTGGCATCATTTCATTTGAGTCCATACATTTGAATTCCCAACAATAACAACAACAACAAAACCTTAATATAAAAGCTACAACAACTCTATTGAATTTTATCCAAGACCAAATCTTTGAATATATTGTTTATTGAAAGATTTCGCTTAATAACTTTATGAAGTATTCTCTTTGGCCTCAGCTCTTTGTAGAGGACTTCACGCTGTTTGATCAACCTTTCTCACTGTCGCATCTAAAGACCTTTTTTGCACATAACCAAACAATCTCAAATGGTTTTCTACTATTTTCTCATCGATAGCAGCCACTCTAACTTTTTTACGGATATGTTCATTACAAATCCTATTTTTTCTTGTATGACCGTACATCCATCTTAGTATTATCATCTCAACTACCTCCACTTTATGTTTATGTTATCCTTTTAAAACCCAACATTTACTACCACATACCATTACTGGTCTTACAGCAGTGCGTTAGTTGATCAGGAATTCAGAATCTTGCGCTAGCAAAGTAAAATCCTTTTCTGCATTTGATTGCTTCTCTTGTTACCGAAAAAGAATAGTCTTCCATGCAGATCTATCCTGACAAGAATCCAAAACTGGAGATTGCATTCTCAAAGGCTTGCATCCTTTCTCCGCGAGCAAAAACCATTGCGACCGTAGGACGATATTTCATTTATGTTGAGTTCAACGCAGGCTTTGACAAGTTCCTCCCCAACACGTTGAGGAGCTTCAATATTGGAACAAGGGGGATCTTGTCGGATAGATTCTGCAATGTACTTCCATAGAACAGACACTTTTTGTTTTGGTCATCAACCAGCATTGCATACAACTGCTTCTCTGAGCAAAATGCGGAAAGCCTTGGTCTTCTAGGTGTTCCATCAAACTTCTTCTGCATCCTTCTGTTCCGGATTTTGGCACTTTCTTTTCTAGCATTTGCCCTAGCTTCGACAACCAGTCGATTCTTGATCAAAGCTGCACACCAAAACAAAAAAACTCTTCAGAATAACAATTATCCGAAGGCGGGACGCAACTCTTTTTTAACTTTCTCTCCCTACTTTTTAAAAGCCAAAAGCCATAATTTATACAAAAGTTAAATTGCCAAATCATGAATCCAAACATCACATTTTATCCACACAGCACGTTTAGTCATTCAACCACATGATGGAGGCATGTAAACGCTTTGACAAACAGAGCCTTCACCAATCAAGCGCGACGACGACAACTCCAAATTAACAATTGAAGTTTCATGGAAACAACGAACACAATAATTAAATGGCACAGTCACTTTGAAAAAAAATCATTATACATACATATTCCTCTATCCTAAATATAACACTCTTATATATACTGGTATAAAGGTCTTATACTCTTCCGGTTCTTAATATATGACCCAATTTTGAGTTGGTTTTAGTCCTAAATATAAGACCTATTTTTTATATTTATCAATTTTCTCTAAATTACCCTTATAGATACTCTCTCAACCATAATCAAGTAGAAGAGAGAGAGAGGGTATTAAGAAAGATGATTATGGTGTTTTAAGAAAAATGTGTCACTTTTCTTATAATTAACTAACTTACCTAACTTTCTTAATCTAATCAAATTAGTTAAATGGATCTTATATTAAGGATCGCAGGAGTATTTAGGACGGGAAGAGTATATAAATATCCAAGCCAAGTTTCACTAATCCTGTGTTTCTATACTACCGCGAAAGCTTAATTAGCTTCTCAAAAATGAACTCTAATCATTCTCCTTTCGAATCACTTCAACAATACCTGGTCGAAGAAGACGATCCTTCCTCCTCCATGACTCTCATGAATGGCTTCTTCACTGGCAGCAACCGTACTTCGAATCTGGACTGTGACATGGCTTTGCCGGAGCAGGGAGTTAGCAGCTCCACTGGCACGGTGTTTTCCGGCGAGAATGACAACGCTATGAAACCAGTTGATGATGACAGAGTGAACGGTAGTGACGCGGGATCTGTGTGAAGGGAACGCGCCACCAAGATGGAGGAATTACCGAGGTGTGAGGCGGCGGCCTTGGGGGAAGTTCGCTGCTGAGATCCGGCACCCGAATGGAAACGGTGCAAGGACGTGGCTGGGAACTTATGAGAAGGAAGAGGATGCAGCTCTGGCTTATGATAGAGCCGCTTTCAAGATGCATGGTAGAAAAGCCAAGCTCAATTTTCCTCACCTCATTGCGCCGCAGCCACCGCCGGAGCCGGCGGCAAGAGTGGTGGCTGGACAGAAACGGCACAGCTCGCCGGAACCTTCGTCGCCGTCAAACAAGACATCTGAGGATGATGGATCTCAAGGGTCAAGCAAGAAGAAGAGCCTGACTGAACTATTGAACAAGTTAGCAGCAAATAGAAGCCATGTCAGATTGGGTTGATATGATTCATTTAAAGGAACGCTATCCTGCTCTGTCCTTGCTCTTTCATCATGTAGTTCTGAAGAAAACTTCAAAAGATGAATTCATTTATAATTTATATTATTCTTTTTTTAACTTATTTATATGGTCCTTCTATGGTATTACTTATAAGGTAGAAAAAGGACGTTATTAAATTTTTCATATGATTTTATTTTTATAATGGAAATTCTCTTAAAAAGATATGGGTAAAATAAAAAATCATTAAAATTGGATTATATAAATTTGATATTTTTGTTGAAGTAAATTGAGCCACATGAGTATCATTGCCATAAACTCTAACATTATTATGTCTAATCGAGAATGCTTCTGTCAATGTGATTGATCCAACGTGGATATTGCAAGGCCAAGAAAACAGAAATGATCCTACACATCCACGTGTTGCTATACAAAAAGACTTCAATTATTCAATATAGCTCTTCAACAAAATAAAACAGACAACTGTACAACGCTGGAATGCAGGACATCGTTCTGTCTCGATTTTCAAATAAAAGCATCTTAATTTTTTTTCTCCAACAAATAAAAACATTTTAATCATGCTCCTTAATTTTTTTTGTTAGCTCTTGTGCTATATTATACTACTTCCAATTCTACTTATAAGACCTCGTTTATAGACTATAAACGGGATCTTATAATTAGGACTCTATAAATGAGGTCTTATAATTAGGGCTGGAGGTAATATTATCCATCATCCGAATTTAAATTGAATTTATTTCAAATGAAAAAATATTGACAAAATTTAAATTCAAAACCTTTATTTAATTTAACGATTATTAAATCTATTAATGTATGTCCGTTATGCTTGTTAATTTATTTACATATGTGATCACGAAGGCCCAAAAAAAAAGAGAGAGCATGAAAAAAGAAAGGAGAAAGGCCCAATGATTCCTCCTAGACTGTACTAGATAGGAATGAAAATGGGCTAGGTTAAGCTAGACTTTAGCTAAATAAGCCTGGGCTTACAATAAATATCTAGAACTCAAGTCTGAGCCTGAACCTACATATAGGCTTTTTTTAGGCTTAGGAGGTGTTTGGATGAAATCAAATCATGGTTTGGAAAATAGTTTTTGGAGAATAGATTCTGGAAAAAATAGATTTTGTGAAAAAGTGATTCTGAGAAGTGAGAGTGTTTGGATAGTTGTTATCAGAAACACTTTTTATATGTACAAATTATTAAAAAAATATAAGTTAATATGATAATTACATAAAACATAGATTGTATGATATATTTTAATTTGAAGGAATAAAATTGGGGGAAATCACAAATAAAGACCCTTGAATTAGCAAAATCACTCTATGGTCACCTGAATATGCTAAATTACTATGAGGGACCTGGTCTCAAATTGTAATTATGAAATCATGGTCAAATTACCAAAATACCCCTCTTTAAATTTTTTTTTTTTAAAAAAGAAAGCCACTCCTCACCGGAATCCGGCCACCGGCGCCGGAGCTCCGGCGGCCGCTTCCGGCCACTGTCGGCGGCCGGACGCTGGGGTCCGGCCGCCGGAGCTCCGGCGCCGGCGCCGCTTCCGGCGGTCTTCCTTTGTTTTTTTTTTGAAACTGTTTTTTTTTTAAATTGGGGGGAAGTGAGGTTGGGGGGATTTGATCCCCCAACCTAATGCTTCCCAAAATAAGGAATGACCATTGAGCCAACAAATTTTTGTTAACATTATGATGCAAAAAAAAATATAAGTTAACTCATTTACTCTTGTTCCAGGTGATAACAACAATACATTTGGAAATAACAAGTTCTGATTGTAAAATAACACGTCTGGAATAAAAATTTAACAATATATTTTTTTTATAACAATAAATTTTGTTGCAGGCAATAACAACAATACATTTAAAAATAACAAGTTCTGATTATACAATAACAAGTTTGGGATTAAAATTTAATAACACGTTTTTTTTATAACAATACACTTTGTTTCAAGTGATAACAACAATACATTTGGAAATAACAAGTTCTGATTGTAAAATAACATGTCTGGAATAAAAATTTAACAATATGTTTTTTTATAACAATAAATTTTGTTGCAGGTAATAACAACAGTACATTTAAAAATAACAAGTTCTGATTATACAATAACAAGTTTGGGATTAAAATTTAATAACACGTTTTTTTTATAACAATACACTTTGTTTCAAGTGATAACAACAATACATTTAAAAATAACAAGTTCTGATTATAAGATAATAAGTCTAGGATTAAAATTTAACAACACGTTTTTTTATAACAATTAATTATTTTATACTTTTAAAAAATAAATTATTTATAACTTATAAAAAATATTTTTAATATATTTATTTCTCTAAAAAAATACTTTTTAATCTGTATATCTATACAACTCATTATAAATCAAACTACTTCTTATAAATTATAAAGTATTTATAATAAGGCATTTTTGATTTATTAATCATAGTATAAATTTTATATCATTTCATTCTTTAAATATTAAAAATAGTTTTTATATTTAAAGAATAAAATAGTATTTTTAATTATAAATTAGAGATAAATTTCATTTATAAATTTAAGCAGTCAAAAAGTATTTTTAATCCACAATAAATTGTACTATTTATAATTTATAAGAAGTAGTTTGATTTATAATAAGTTGTATAGATATATAGATTAAAAAAATTTTTTAAAAAATTAAAAAAGTGTGTTGCCATTTTCCCTAAATTTTATTTAAAAATTTGAACAATAAAAAAGTATTTTTAATCTATAAAAAATTATACGTCAAGTTCTGATTATAAATTGGAGATAAAAATTATTTTTTTAGCAAATTAAATAGATTGCAAGTACTTTTTATAAGTTATAAATAATTTATTTTCCAAAAGTATAAAATAATTAATTGTTATAAAAAAAAGGTGCTGTTGAATTTTAATTCCAGACTTGTTATTTTATAATTAGAACTTGTTATTTCCAAATGTATTGTTGTTATCACTTGAAACAAAGTGTGTTGTTATAAAAAAACATGTTGTTAAATTTTAATCCCAAACTTATTATTTTATAATCAGAACTTGTTATTTTTAAATGTATTGTTGTTATCACTTGAAATAAAGTGTGTTGTTATAAAAAAAAACGTGTTGTTAAATTTTAATCCCAAACTTGTTATTTTATAATCAGAACTTGTTATTTTTAAATGTATTGTTGTTATTGCCTGCAACAAAATTTATTGTTATAAAAAAAACATATTGTTAAATTTTTATTCCAGACGTGTTATTTTACAATCAGAACTTGTTATTTCCAAATGTATTGTTGTTATCACCTGGAACAAGAGTAAATGAGTTAACTTATATTTTTTTTGCATCATAATGTTAACAAAAATTTGTTGGCTCAATGGTCATTCCTTATTTTGGGAAGCATTAGGTTGGGGGATCAAATCCCCCCAACCTCACTTCCCCCCAATTTAAAAAAAAAACAGTTTAAAAAAAAAAACAAAGGAAGACCGCCGGAAGCGGCCGCCGGCGCCGGAGCTCCGGCGGCCGGACTCCGGCGTCCTGCCGCCGACAGTGGCCGGAAGCGGCCGCCGGAGCTCCGGCGCCGGTGGCCGGATTCCGGTGAGGAGTGGCTTTCTTTTTTAAAAAAAAAATTTAAAGAGGGGTATTTTGGTAATTTGACCATGATTTCATAATTACAATTTGAGACCAGGTCCCTCATAGTAATTTAGCATATTCAGGTGACCATAGAGTGATTTTGCTAATTCAAGGGTCTTTATTTGTGATTTCCCCATAAAATTGTTAATAATATATTTTTTACCAACATAATTAATAATACATAAGATAATGTAATTAATAAATAATTAATATGTGTATATTTATTTATAAGATATAAGATTAAATATGTTTATAAAAAATTAATTAAGGAGTGTTAAAGTCATATTATTGTTAAAATTTACTCTAATAGACACAATTATACTCTTCAATTTGAGTCAAAAGTAGAATGGATTCACTTCTTTAGAAACCATGGTTTTGGGTTCCAAAACCATGGTTTTGACCCAAACCATGGTTTCAGATAAATTGTGCCTGTTTGGGTTGTTTTTTTCCCAAACCATGGTTTGGCTTGCTATCCAAGGGTGTGTTTGGATGAAACCAAACCGTGGTTTGGAAAAGTGATTCTGGAAAATAGATTTTGGGGTGAATAAATTCTGTGAAGAATGATTTTGTAAAAAAGTGATTCTGAAAAGTGAGAGTGTTTGGATAGTTGTTATCAGAAACACTTTTTATATATACAAATTCCTAAAAGAAAGACATAAGTTAATATGATAATTACAAAAAAAATAAATTTTATGATATATTTTAATTTGCAGGAATAAAATTGTTAATAATATATTTTTTACCAACATAATTAATAATACATAAGATAATATAATTAATAAATAATTAATATGTATATATATTTATAAAATATAAGATTACATATGTTTATAAAAAAATATGTTTATAAAAAAAATAACAAGATACATATCCTATAGGCTCTCACACTCTCTCTTTTTTCTCCAAAAGCAAAAAATTTTTGCTTTTTCCAAAACCATGGTTTTGGTTTTTGGGTGGGTGTTTGGGTGATTTATTCCCCAAACCATGGTTTGGAGTGTCACCCAAACACACCCCAAACGGGGCTTTAAGCTTGAGCCTTCAAAGGGCCTAACAAGACTTGAAGCATGTTTAAAGGCCTATTTAAAATGCCCCTTTAGATAGGCTTAAAAATATATGTTTCCAGATTCATATATAAGCCTTCAAATCTATTTAAAAACTTACACGTTATATCTTAAAAGTTCAGTGAAAAACACAGACCAAGGGAGAGGAAGTAAGCTATGAGCAACTGAAAAGACGAGAGGTAGAGGGGAATGACCGATAAATGAAGGGGGACTAATGATCTTACGTAGGAGTATTGTGATGTGAAACTCATGATCAAACTAGAGTTTATAATTTTATAAACAATTTATAAAATTAATTTATATTAA